GTACTTACTTAAATAGTTAATCAAGTAGCATTTCGGTTTTCTAAACGATCCGCATTTCGTAGACAATACGTAGATAGTTGTTATACTTCAATAGAATATTCAAAAATTGGAAGAATAAGGATGTCATGTAAATTCTGTTTTTAGTTAAAATTTAAAAATTATAAATTCACAAGAAATTTACTATCCACTTAACTACAGTCAGAACTTATGTAAGCGCAAGGATATCAAGTATGAAGAAGATACATATGTGTAACAGGGAAACTTTTGATGTGAATGAAATAACTTAATGAAAGGCATAATGGTCTCAGCTTGAATTTTTTGTACAGTAGTTGTCATTTTTTTTTCTGACAGGCATTTTTATTGGTATTATTAGTGATATTGAGGCTTTTTCTATCATAGAATTAATATAGACTATCTCTTACAGTCAGAACTTATGTAAGCGCAAGGATATCAAGTATGAAGAAGACACATATGTGTAACAGGTAAACTTTTGATTTGAATGAAATAACTTAATGAAAGGCATAATGGTCTCAGCTTGAATTTTTTGTACAGTAGTTGTCATTTTTTTTTTCTTACAGGCATTTCTATTTTTTGGATATTTTTTTTACTAATCTTCAATTTCATAATAGATGAATTTATATCAAAAATTACAACACATTTCGAATCTAATAAGTTTTACACATGCATATCATGTACTGTCAAGTGCCCGTTTACCAGTACGTTAACGTATCCGTTTATTTGCGATTTCAACGAAACGTTTAAAGGACACGTTAACGGGTACGTTAAATAACGGGGGCTGTGTGATATAAATGAAAATGAATGGAAACTTAACGGAGATATCAACGGGTCTATGAATTAATGGATGCTTTGTGAATATGCTTCTATTCGTCGTTTCGCTTTAAATATTGTAAGATTGTTGTCTGTTTGATTCAACCCAACAACAACTTTCCGTTATATGAAAGAAATAAACCGGATTTCATCCAGTTTATCGTGCAAAATTTACTGATTTGATAAAAGAAATTGGTCAACAATTTCTTGCTAATGCAACCACAAACTGACATCTGCAATCAATATTTATCTTCTTTTACAAATATATCAAATGTTAACTGATGCATGCATTTTGTTATATACTTTGCAGTTAAGGGGTTAAAAATATTTATATTTTTAAAAAGATAAAGTACATCTCAAGGTTTTGGAAAGATTGATGTCAGTTAAATCAACTATGCTAAACTCTAAGTTTATGGTGAAACAAGCATGTATCAAATACTGCTCAGCATGCAATTGACTGAGTAATAATAAGCAGTTGGTCCAAATCAAGTGTTCCCTTGATTGCATAGGCTTAATAACATTAAAGGTATCAATTTAAAACTTCAATAGATGCGCATTTCCCAATTGCGTATGGTATATTCAGGGCGTTTTGAATAAATAAGAAAACAATAACACGTTTTGTTAAAGGAATATCATGTGATCAATAAGTACGGAAATGGCATTGTATTAAAAATCTAGACATAAATAGGCGTAGAATAAATCGCATCAGAGAATATTTCGTACCAACAATACAAATTTTTCGGACCTAATTACTATTTCAAAAAAAACCAACGACAGACATTATCTGTTAAACAAGCTCTGTTCTTTACCTGTTAATAAATTACATCAAATTTTAAAGGATTGCAACACAATTCCATATTGCAGTCCTAAATATGAAATCGTCCAAAATAATTGCATGTTGTTATTCTAAACTGTTTCCTAAAATTGATCGCCATTAAGATAATAAAAAACATTTTATTAAAATCAAATATGTCAATAAAGGTTTTGATTTTGTAAATATTGCTGGTATTTTTAATGATCATTCCGTTAAAGATCAAATTTCTGGCTATTCTGAAAATACTGAGTTCCCTCTTATCTGTTATCTTTACAAAAAATCAACCCGGAAACATGTGTTTAATTATAGCGAAGTATGTAGAGATGTTAATATAAGTGACAGTACACCTACGTCATGAAATTGCAGTAATTTCGAATACATTTATGGCCTCAGTTCCCATGTTATAACAGGAGACTTTAACATCGTCCATGACCAAGAGTTGAAATTATTCCTCAGTAAAGGATCTAAATATCGCCCCGTCAATTATTAATTGGAATGAGTGTCGTAATATCATCAACGACTCACTCCGTACTTACTGCGCGAAATGGATAAAACGAGAAAAAGCTGACAAAACATCCTTAGATTCTTTTTTAAATTAAGTAATGAACATAGTTGACATTCGTATTAAAGGTGTAATAACACCAAATCATAGTACGTCACATCCGGTTTCATACGAAAATAGGTCGAAAAAATATATTCCCTTGAATTTGACAGTTGTAGGTAATTGATCCTACATTTCATTGCAGTAAAACATTTCTGGGTCATAAACATATATCTTGGGTATTTCAAAGTACCATTATTTTTTTATTTGGGGTTTCTATAGAATATTTTGGAAACTTGAGGTTACATGGTTACTAAAGCTTGTACACAGGTTAAAAAAGGGGGAAAATTTGACTGGTTAACTTCCAGTGATGATTATTTTCTTACATGCAATGAAATGTTATGTGAAATTTTTTCTATAGTACTAAACAGGATAAAACTTTACTCATGCCAAGTATTTCTTTATTTGAAACAAAGATAAATTCTGCACAATTTTTTGAAAAGTGCAAATTTAACAAAGACTAATAGGGGACAATCAATGGTGGTATTACACCTAAACATTGTAAAAAACATTTTACTCCTAGCAACAACCATAATAGCTCTATTTCTCGTATCAAACATAAGGTAAAAGAACAAGGAATTTGTTTTTGTCCCGGCTGATAAGGCTGCCAATAATATCATTATTGTTTGACGTAACTTTTACATTTAGGTTCTGCAAAAGGAAATCACGAATTCACCAACATTCCAACTGACTCTATTTTTGAAAAATCACATCTGTAACAAACGTAAACTTTTAGCTACCTGTTTACAAGCAGAACCAAATACAATGAAAGTTCGAACTATGTACTGGCTTCAGAAGCTGCACAAAACACCTTGTTCGATTCGCTCGTGTATGTAACAACGTATTTGATTTTAACGAAAGAAATCTCTATTACTGAACAATTTTTACACCAGGGTTTTCGATATCATAAACCAGTCAAAACATTTACTAAATTTTATCATCGGTACAAGGACATCATGCGTAAATATAAATCAACATGCAGACATCTTATACGTTCAGGTATTTCACATCCAATCTTTTATGGTAATATTCTATACAAAGCACAAAAATGTCGTCATTCACCTAAAAAGCTAACCAAAGCTTTAAACAGACTTATTCAGAAGGGATATAGTAACGATACTGTTGTCAGGTCATTCAAGATGTCATATTTTGGAAATAATATTGATTCAATCATAGGGTCTTTGCATCGGAAATACACACATTTATTATAAAACCAGTTGTTAGCATGACACGGGTTATGTTCTTCTCATATAATTTATGATGTCATGATACTAAACCCCTAACGGGAGGGATTGTGCTTGGTTTCATATGATGAAGACATAATCTTTCCATCAGTTTAATTGGGGTATGGAGCTGGCATGTCAGTCACTGCTTGTAGTCCTTTGTTAATTTATGTATCATTGTCATTTTGCTCAGTTTCTTTTGTAACCTATTCTGTATCAGACTCGGACTTCTTTTAAACTGAGTTTTACTGTGCGTATTGCTATGCGTTTGTTTATTCTACATTGGCTAGAGGTATAGGGGGAGGGTTTAGATCTCACAAAACATGTTTAACCCTGCCGCATTTTTGCGCCTGTCACAAGTCAGGAGCCTCTGGCCTCTGTTAGTCTTGTATGTTTTTTTTAAATTTTAGTTCATTTATATGTTTTGGAGTTCAGTTTGACGTCCATTTTCACTAAACTAGTACACATTTTTGTTTAGGGTGCCAGCTGAAACCCGCTTCCGGGTGCGGTATTTTCTCGCTATGGTGAAGACCCATTGGTGGCCTTGGGCTGTTTTATGCTCTATGGTCGGGTTTGTTGTCTCTTTGACGCATTCCTCATTTCCATTCTCAATTCTATTTTATAGACCCGAGTTATACTCAGTTGAAACAGTTTTGTGTCTATAAATAGCTACCTTATTGTCTCAAGCCTAACACCCGATTTTAATAAAGTTAACCCCACTGTTGCAACTTATAGTTAGTTTTCGTATTAAAATTAGAAGGTGGTATATTATTGGAGCGCTTCGTCAATAAATTCAAAAAAGGACTGATAGGAAATGAATTTTATTATTTATTTGTCTTTGCAGCGGTAAATATAAACAGTCTCAAAGAAAAATGTACTCTTGAATATGAAGCAAAATCCATCTCAAGCCTAGCCAGAAGATCTATGGCGTAATATAATTTACCATTTCCCTATTTCCCTATTGTTATAGTGTAAACTAAGAGTGACACAAAACTTGAAACTTGATTGGACTCAAGTACAAAATAGGTGGATCAAGTGATTTGTGAAATTAAGAAGTGGCCAAGTATATATAAATTGAGCTAATAACTCATCAAAGATTTTAGGCTTGTTATTTCAGAAGGATTGAAACTTCATTAAGGCTTTTATGTAACCGACAACAGCAACATTTATTTACACCAATCAGGTAATATTTCTTCAAATATTCGAAATTATGAGGACATTTGTGGTTCTTTATTTTTTTCTAAAACAAAATATTTTATTTGTGCATTGTACATGTTTAGATTAACAAACGCAAATAATTCATGCTAGTATTTGATCATAACCGTCCACTTTTCTTTTTGTTTACTAATTGGATGTTAGATAGTAAATCATTATAAGATTACTATGTCTGTTTATATTTCATACAGATGCTTCCTCATTTCTTATTGATACTTATTGTTGTTATTATATTTGTTTGAATTGGGTGCATTTTTTTTTTCTTTTTTCATCTTCTTATATTTCATTTTGTAAATTTTGTTTCTTTGTACAGTTTAAACCACGAGAATGCACATCCTGTCTGTCATTGGTCTCAGTATTTGTCTTGTGTTTATTGGTATTAATATGCAAGGTAAGATATTTTTTCTTTAGATCTGTGTTGTCTAATTAAATATTTTTTATTTTGATGTCTACAATGGCATTTAATCAAATTTCGTCATTTCTAAATAGTTAGAACATTTTCTTTTTCAGATGTTTATGTACTTGTAAATATTTATGGGTTGTCCGATTATAGACAATTTTCAAGCTTATTCATCTCATCAAATTTTCCGACCGTTTTTCATACGTCGAGGGGTAGTTGTTACAGCAATTCGTGCATCTACAAAGAAAAAGTTTCCTAAGGAAGGACGCAACCCCGTCATAAAATTATAAATTGCCCTAAACACGTATTTGTATTGACATACAAGCCTACAAATTATCACGTGTTACTGTAGAACAGTTTACTGCTGGTCGATTTTTCATTAATATTATAAATCAAACGGAAGCATGAGTAGACGTCTTAGATTTATTTGTGTTGTTAGAGACCTGTATCGTAAACGTTTATCAGTCAACTACTTAATTAATGTTAATCAGCAATTGAAATCTTATCAAGATTTCATAAAATGTTCAGTTATTTCGAAAGTAAAATTCAATTAAAATTGTGAGCCGTGTTTTGTGTTTACTCATTACAACAATGTAGATTTGCACATTAACAACCAGACTCGCAAAATACAAGCATAGTATTTCTATGAGTTAAATTAGCATTATACGTGAATAGTTCGTAACATGTTATCTTTGAGGTCTTATGTGTCACTACATGATTATTTTTTTGTTCCATGCAACAAATCATAGTTCAGAGGCAGAATTTTATGTTCTAGTTGCAGGGTTCTTTTCTAAAACAAATCCTAGGACTAGACTTTATCGTAGGCCAGTCTTAAAAAAACTAGTAAAAAGGACTGTTCTGCATGCACCTCAACAAGCATGTACTTGCTCACTTTAACAACGGTCCATTGATGATAGTCGTTTTCATCTACAGAATACATTCTATACATGAAACTCAGGTATATGTAAACAGTTCCACCTTTATAAGTGAAAGTAACTATTGGCAGAAGATTTAGTTAAAAATAATAAATTCGATACTATAGTAGATGTATATCATTCTCAAATTTATAAAACAGTTGTACCAATATAAAATATGAATATGCAACTTTGAAATTAAACTTCGTTCCTATGCTAATATATTGTTTTGTTTATAAAAAAAAACAGTGCAGTAAATATCTATCTGGAATGTTTGAATGATAATTGCAATTTTGGTACAGCAAAGACCCTTATTGATGGAACCAGAAAGGCCGTATCCCAGTACGATTGTGGTAAATATATAAAATCTTAATTATCCTTTGATATACACTGATATGCTACTACTAATGGGCTTCCCGGTGATGTGTCTTATTTGCATATGCTGTATCCATTAATACACAAGACGCAATTTTCGTCTTGCGTACTAATGGATACACCAGATGCAAATGCACATTTGACGGTGTGTTTTAAAGAATTTTAGTATTATGATAACGGATATAATGGACGACACTGATATAACAGTTACAATGTTCTTTGAAGAAGCTCACAGTCTAACGCAATATGAAGACCACTGGGATTCAATCTATTGCAATAGTTAAAAATATAAACAGAAAAATACGCATATAGATCTATTAGAAAAGTTTCGGCAACTACAGGTTTCAAAAAACATAAATTCAACCGAGTTGAAGAAGTTAAATTAGCACCCTGTTTCAGGAAAAAATCGGAAAATATGGGAAAAATCTCAAAAAATCAAAACCAATTTTGCCCATTATGCCATGTTGATTATTTAATCGCAAATCAAGTTTATTGAAATAAAAAAAATATTTTTTATATATATTCAGTCAACTAAATTAGCAAACGGATTCAATTACATTATTGCCAACATAACGTTACCACTGTACACTCTGCGTAGCTTTAAAATGTCTTGCGTACCATGTTGATATGTTCTGTAAGAACTCGCCTCTCCGTCTTTTGACCTCCTAATAAAAACGATTAAGGCCGCTTGAACTATTAGATCAGTGATAAATTAGTTCCATATAAATTACTAGCATCCATAAACTATTTTAGAAATATTCGACGTCTGTTAAAACAGGTACAACTAAATAGTGGAGTGTCCCCTTAAGGCGCCCCTTGTTTAAAAGATATACCAATTTGAACTCGGACCCTAAATTCCTTTTTTACTGTCTGTCAGTATTATGTATTCTATATTCTTTATTGAATATTTGTCAAGGTGCCGACCCCAAAATGGATCTTGGGAGTTTTGTCAAATTTTCAAAGAATGAATGTCATGGCTTGTTATCATCTAGTTTAGTAGTTTATGCAAACTTAGCTGTCATTTCAGCATTTCATTGACAGCGCGATTTCTGTCTTAGTACAAAGCAAAATCACAAAAATACTGAACTCCGAGGAAAATTCAAAAAGGAAAGTCCCCAATCAAATGGCAAAATCAAAAAAACAAACACATCAAACGAATGGATAACAACTGTCATATTCCTGACTTGGTACAGGCATTTTCTTATGTAGAAAATAGTGGATTAAACCTGGTTTTAAAGCTAGCTAAACATCCGACTTGTATGACAGTCGCATCAAATTCCATTATATTGACAACTATGTGTGAACAAAACAAACAGACACAATGGGTAAACATGTCACAAATAAGGGTACAAAAACTGGGGGTGATCTCAGGTGCTCCGGAAGGGTAAGCAGATCCTGCTCCACATGTGGCACCCGTCGTGTTGCTCATGTTATTACAATGCCGGTAAATAGTCTATTTTGGTAGGTCACATTCGTGAAAAGGGAACGGGATTGTAGTTACGACATAGGGAACATATCCGATATCATCTTTGAAACGGATATTCCATAACGGTCAACCAAATCGTGATGGAGTCCCTAAAATTTACGAAGTGATGATTTCAACTGCTATTTTTGGAACTCTTTATTTAGAAATGAAAAGGTCACAATTGGGAAGCTGAAATCATCTCTTAGAACGTTTTTGCTACGATGCTAAGGTCATCATCTTTCTAATAATCATTACTTCAGTACCTCCTCCAGGTCGCTGTCGCTGCTTGAAGACTGACAGTCCATTAATTTATCATCTGTATAGTAGTAAGGTCAGTACTTCAGAGAAGTACAACTGGGTCGCTGTCGCTGCTTGTGGATTGTTTGTCCCTAAGTTTTTATCATCTTTCTAGTAGTAAAATATCCAGTACTACCACTTGGTTGCTGTTGCTACTGTCAGTCTTTATGGTATCAAATACGATAAATTAGTACTGCAGGACTACCACACGGCTGCTAATTCATTGAACAATGCTTTGAATGTGATTTCAGAAATAGTTGTGTAATCCTCATTTCAAATTGTTTTCATACATTGACGTTTTATAAAATTGTCATAGTATGAACACTTTTACAACAGAATTTGATGTTCGTTTTTTGTTTTGTTTTTTTTTTGGAGGGAGGGGTACAATACGAGTTTACATTCAACAAGTAATTAACAATTCAATATTTAACTGTTTTATATTCAAAAGTTACAGATGTTTTATATAAGTTGTTTTTCTTTGCAGGAGCCGGAAGTATTCTTGTCAACCTGACTGTCATTGGTTTAGGACTTACATTTTATATGCTTGTTTAGATGCCGCATTTTAGTACATCCATATGAACAAGTCTGAAGATACATGTACTTATTTCCAAAAACTGTATAGGATTTAAGTTTTTCGCCTTAATCTAATTCACTTTAACACATTTGCACTGCTTGTAAGGATTGAACAAATGTGCAAAATCTTATTTGGACACTTGCATACTTTTTTGGTTTAATTTGTAATTAATAAATTTATTTTACAATTATGATGATTTTCTTACAACGGTTATTATAAATTCTGAAATATGAATATCTCAAACCCGTTTGCACTCTTAGTTTTAACATTTTTATTGTACTACTTCCTAGAAGTTAGTACGTTTTGTATATATAACCATGGATTTGCCCGTCTGATGAACCTTTCATCCCATTTTTCTATCCGCTACTGCTCCTTAACTGCGAGACAGAATTTTGACACTTTCGCAGAAACATAACATGGACTTTGTTAAATTCCAAGATCGGTAACTTAACTCCTTAACTTAATTTAATAAAGACTCAATTATTTCTCAGTGTCGGTGTGCACCTCGGGCTCTTATTTGGTTTTTTACGACGATGGTATAGAAGTAAGGTCATCTTTAGATTTCCCCCGTCCGACACAAGACCCCTGTTGGAATGGGGGCGTTCATTTAGTTGTGCGGGATGTACAAATACGTAGCCATGTGCAGTGCAATTTGAAAGTACCTCGCCCTCTTCACGTTTAGGAACCTTTGCATTCTCTCTCATGCGTCCATAAGTGGCCTGTTTCAGGGGAAATATTCTACCCCTATCCAAAAAAACTCATTTTCTGATGTCAAGTTCAAACTGCCTTGTGGAAAACGTCTTCTTTTAATTGTTAGAGATTGTCGTTCTAAATATTCATAAAATATTTCCATTTGGTGTTAAAAACATTCAGTTAATTAATATTTTGCTTTTTTAAATAGAATTAATTTTTAGGTTTAAATTCAGGTATTTTTTTAAAAATTTTGTTACAAAAACTGCGACTGGATAGTTTTAGCAACATTAAACAATCACTTTTAAAATACGTTGTGTTCAGAGCAAATTGCAAAGAATTCCGCTTAAGCCGGTGCTAGGGGCCGTCTTAAACTTGAGGTGAGAGTTTTTTTGTTCCATGTTGAGGCCTTACTGTGACTTTGAGATGACGAACAGCAATAAAAGCGCTTCTCCTTTGCTTTTTGCGTGTTTTTTTGTTGTACATGTACTAATTTTGTGTCATTGAAGGATACTCCATATCTTTTGTTTTTCTATTATCATATTTTATCACATAAAGAGTTTCGAGTGGTTGGATTCTTCTGTTAAACATAACAGATCCTTTGAAGTTGTGTCATTGGAGATGCATGTCCACTGGTAGGTGGTTAATCAGTTTGTTCATTCAGTCACCACTGGTATATGTAGAACTCACAAACTGGGATTTCTTTGGTCTGCACACTGCGCATGTTCCACCCGATCATCCGTTGCTATATATAACTTCAAAGCGAATCTTCGTCTCTGCATTCCTGGTACATTTCAGTCAAAAGATTGTCATTTTATGTTAAGAAATGGACGTTGAAGATATCTCATACAATGAAACTACTGCGAACAGAAGAAATCACTTTCTGCTTCCGCAACGGTCTATTACTGATCACTGGAAAGGCAGACTGTGGTAAGACGAAGCCAAGCCAAGAGAACACCAATTTTGTGTGTTTCTTCCAACTAGATGCCAAGCACATTCACTGCGACCATTGTTTGGATATTTGAGGACTTCACGCGATCACTTGAGGTCTTAATCTTAAGGTTTGTCACCATTGATCACACTAGCACCAAAAGAAATGTAAAATACAGATGCAAAAACTCCTATGCCCCTGAACCAAATCCAGGGCCATGTACACCAAAATATCCGTGTGGAACATGCAAACCTGTGGTCACATGGAAAACTGAAGCTGTTTGCTGTGACAGCTATGGACAGTGATATCACATCAACTGCCAACAAATAAATCACTCCATGTATGAAATATTAGGACATAGTAACATCTCGTGGGAATGCATCAACTGTGGCATGTCAAATTTCTCCACAACCTTTTTCAATACCACTATTGAGACATCAAACAGTTATTCAAAATTAGACATAAGCAATGAGCCTACTGGTGTGGAAAACATTGGTCCACCTAATTTCACATCCTCACCATTACCAAAAAATCATAGTCAAAATTAATATAAAAATCACAAAAACAAAACTAAACCAAGTAAAACACCACTGAGAACACTAACCTTAAATTTTCAGTCTATGAAAAATAAGAAACCTGAAATAGTAAAAATGATTAAATCCTGTGATCCAGACATAATCTATGGTACAGAAACCTGGCTTTCAAATACTATATCACCATAAGAGTATATATAACCATTCAAATACACTGTTTACAACAAAAATAAAAAAGACAGATATGGAGGAGTATTGCTAGCAGTCTAAAATAAATACATCTCATCACAAGTAACTGAATTTGACACAGACTGCGAAATAATCAGGGCAAAAATAACATCTTCACACATTAAACATTATACTTAGGTGCGTACTATAGACCACCTTCAGATAAAGGGGAATCATTTGAGACCATGGGTATCTCTCTTTATACCGTGTGCAAGAAAGCAAATGCAAACATCTCGCTAAGTGGTGACTTTAACCATGTTATCCATGGCCACATAAACTGGGAGAAAAATTTGAAAGTACCTAATAAACTAGACTCAGCATTACACCAACAACTGCTTAATATTCTGGATGATAATAATTTTGCACAAGTAATAAAAAAAAACAGAAATGATAGAACACTAGACTTAATGTGCATGACAAATCCATCCTTTGTCAACAGAATTGAGACCCTCCCACCTATAGGAGGAAGTGACCATGACATTGTCTTCTGTGAGATAAAATTTGCTTTACTATCACCAAAACAACACCCACATTAAGAACTTATATACAAAAAAGCAGACAGCTGGGAGAACATAAAGAAAGATCTCATACTAACACATGATTATTTAAAAGTGAACAAGACAAATTTGACTGTCGATGATCTGTGGACCACCTTCAAAACGAAAACGACATAAACCATAAACAAAAACATACCAACCAAAGAAATTGGAAGAAAATCAAAATTACCATGGGTAAACAAAGACCTAAAAAGACTCATCAGAAAGAAAAACAAACTTTACAAAAAGAAAAATCATGACTCATATTACAACATCAAATACAAAGAGATAAAGACCAAACTCCAAAAAGAGATGAGAAAAGCATAATGGGCATACATTGAAAATATGATCTTTGACATCGACATAAAAGAACCAAACCAGCAATGCTTCAATAAGCAACCCAAAAAGCTATACTCATACATCAAAAGCCAAAGAAATGAGAATACCGGCATTGCATCCTTACGAAGTGAAGGTACTCTTCATACAAACCCCTCTGAAAAAGCCAACATCCTAAATAAGCAATTTCAATCAGCTTTCACATCAGAAATAAATATAGAAATACCAACGAAAGAACATAGTTCACACCCTACAATGGAAAAAATAAACATCAGTCGAGAAGGAGTATATAAACTAATAAAAAAAATAAATACCAACAAAGCTACAGGACCAAATACTATATAGCTGGCAAAATACTGAAGGAAAACATCGAAATAACTTCAGATATTCTTACAATCATCTTCAGCAAATCTCTTGAGACAGGCAAAGTACCTTCAGACTGAAACCATGCTAACGTTACACCAGTATTTAAAAAAGGAGACAAACAGCATCCTGGAAATTACAGACCAATATCACTCACCTGCATCTCATGTAAATTACTTGAACATATACTAGCTAGTAACATGATGAGACACATTGAAACAAATAAAATATTATATGAACTACAATATAGATTCAGAGCTAAAAGATCATGTGGATCACAAGTAAATTCTCTTGTACATCAACTAGCTCAAAACAACGATAAAAACATACAAACTGACCTAGTAATCATGAATATTGCCAGAGCATTTGATAAAGTGCCACACAAACGCCTACTTAACAAATTACAACACTATGGCATCTCGGAGCCTGAAGCATATTGTGAAAGCTATTGGTGAACATAAATTAGATATCAAGGAAACAGTTGTGAAACCAAAAGTAGATAAAAACAGTCAGAGGGATGAAGTAGATAGGTCCGTAAACAACACATCACCCAAACGTCTTGAAAATCAACAAGACAGTAATGCAAAATCGAACAATAACGATCGAAGTCGAAATTATAACTGTCTTAGTCGTGGGCACTACAGTCGTGGTAAAAGTCACCATTTCGGAACAAATACTAGAGGAGGTAAATATTAGTTATCCTGCGGATTTTGGAATGTTAATGGATGGAATACTAATGTACATAGTGACAAGTTTTACTTTTTAGATTCATGTTTTAAACATTATAATCTGCATATGGTTGGAATTGCGGAAACGCATTTGACCAGTAATAAAGGCATTGAAGTCGATGGTTACAACTGGTTCGGTTTTAATCGTAAAAACATTCACCTGCGTGCGAAAATTGGTTCTGGTGGGGTCGGACTTTTAAAACGAAATGATATTTGCAGTCAATTTAATGTTTAAATAATTGACAATGATACAGATGGAATATTGTCGGTGAGATTGGAGGATACAAACTGTTTACAGAACGCTTTCTGTGTTTGTATGGTATATTTGCCCCCTGCAAACTCCACACGTGCAGTAAACGTAAACGAATTTTCTTAAACCTTAATGACAAAAATCTAAACCCTTCCTCAAGGGTCTTCGTTTTATTTGTGTGGCGATTGGAATAGTAGATGTTCCGATTTGTCAGATTCGATTGCTGGAATAGACAGTTTACCCGAAAGACATGTAATTGACTTTCATCATAATAGTTATGGTAGCACCTTTTGTGATTTCTTGATTGACGTAAGCTGTTGTATTTTAAACGGATGCAAAACAGTTAAAAACGACTTTTCATTTGTATCTTCACGTTATAGTAGCGTCGTAGACTATTGTGTGGTACCATACGAAACGCTTGGTTGTTTTGATAATTTCAAAGTAACTAGAACAAGTGTAATGATCAATGAAACTTGTGCCATCGGTAAATACGATCTGACCAGAATAGTTCCGGATCACTCCGTTCTGTCATGGGACTTCTCGTTGAATTTTAATTCTGGAATTGAAACAAACAATGTAACTCAAAATTTATGTA